CCCCCCTCCCTCCCCCCTTTGCTACTTTGTCCCTTTCTTGCTGCCTGGACCCGCTGTGCGCTTTGTACCCTGTTATGAATAACTCATTTAAGAGGGATTCGTCCACGAAAGGAAAAGTTGTTGTTGGCTGCGGGTGTGCGGCTTGTGCGCACGGCCTGGTCTTGCCTCCGGAGGAGGGGGAGGGAGGGGTGATTTGTGAGGTGAAGACTTGGCTCAGAGTTAAGCCGAATGGGGGGGGGGGGGGGGACGAGGCGGGGGGTGGGGGGGGGGGGAGAGAGAGAGAGAGAAAGAAAGAGAGAGACGCGGAGAGAGAGAGAGAGCTGATCCTTGCTGCGTTATTAATTGGGAGCCGCATAGAGCTGTCGCCAAAGGGTCAAAAGGTACGACGCCGACGCACTGGGGATATTTTTTCCTCTTTGGCGTCGTGTATTAATCATGTTGACCAAGGGTCCTCTTCTATATGGCACAGAAAACGAAAAGCTATCAACAAAAAAAGTTTCAATGCTTAAACTAAACAAAATCCTACAGTCAGTGTGTAGGATCATCGAGTAACATCTAGTATTGTTACAATCGACGCCGTACCGAAAATTAACTGTTTATAACTGCTATTTCGTGTCGCTCAGCCAACAGTTTACGATAAATGTTGGTTTAAATGTTTTTTAAACTGTGATTTTGATGGTTTCAAACTAGTTGTAATTCATTTTTTTTCCGTGGAGTCGCGTAAGCTTCGGAAAAATAACAGCGCCAGTAAAGAGGAAAGGCATGTAGACTTTTGCGGTGTCGTCGGTCTTGCGGTGAAAGCGACCCGACCTGTTGGAAAAAAAATCCTTGCCCCTCCTGTCGTCTGAGTCGTCTTTGTATCCAGTATTTCTGAGGGCTCTCCCCCCCCCCCTCTCCCCCCGCCCCTCTTCCCCTGGCCACTCGCCCAACGAGGTAAGCGCGGGTAAGCGGATCTCTCGGTGGATGAGTCGTATCATTTTTGTGAGACCCACGACAGATGTGGGTTTGCTTCATAGGCTTTGCTGTCATACATCTCTCGGATTTACCTTTAAAAAGCAGGGCCCCTTCCTTACTTCCATACACCGGAAGAAACTGTGACACTTCTATACACCGGAAGAAACTGTGACACTTTTATACACCGGACGAAACTGTGACAAAGTAAGGACACCGCCCGCTCCTGCACTAAATTTAGCATTAGGGAAACTTGCAGAAAGGACGAAAAAGGGAACAGCATTTTTGCCAGCTCCTTGCGAGCTTTCTTCATTGGCAGGGCGGAAAGGAGGCCTGTGGACCCGTGCCCTCATGCCCCCCCCCCTCTCTCTCTCTCTCTCTCTCTCTCACCTCTCACTCACTCTCACGACGCTCTCACCACCCCCTGGTCCGGGTCTCTCCTCTCCCCGCCCATCTTTCCAAACAATCTCATTTCTCTTCATGTTTTTCGCATAATGCGACGAGGCGCCATAGTTCCACAATTTTTCACGCCACCCTCTTCCCCC